GGAAAGATCAAAATTGAGAGGGGCCAGAATTTGGCTGGGGGAGCTGTGCTGGATGAAGAGTGCAGCTAAATTATTTAATAGCTTGCGCATTGGCTCTGGATCAGAGATCGTCACTGAACAGAACAACTGTAGGACAAACAAAGTGGTGGTGGTAATCATCCGTAACAACTTAATTTTGCCTTCGATAGATAGTTACTTCAGCATTTTGTTATACCAACCTAAGCTGTTCGGTTAGTACTTCACATGGCATTATTCCAGGTATTCTCTGTAGTAAAATTTGGGTATCCAATGCTGTGTCTGTCATAGGAGGAAAATTTAGGAGGGTGACTACTCTGGTAATGATTTGCTATGTGACTTTAAACAGGAGAGGTGTTGTACATGATTTTGTTTAAGGTACAGCGATACTGAGGTCGAGCAGTTATGGCACCGTTAGATCGGCCTTCAGAACTTAACTCTTCTTAAGCCTCTCAATTTCCATAATCTTAGCACGGGATTTCCATATTTTCTTAGAGAACGAAAACAAAAAAGTGAAATGGAAAATACAGGCTAACAAGAAAGCACTCATTTCACGAGCGGCAGTGCTGAGGAAGCCTATGAGTTGGTACCCCGAGACTCAAGTCTCACCCTGGTGCTGCTCCCTCCTCCCTGCATCTCCCCACCCATCCCCTCTTCCATCTGCCCCCCGTGCCTCCCCACCGCTCACCGGGGACCGGCGCCCACCGCTCGCCATGCGGCACTATGGATGTCCTGCCCAGCTCATAAGCGGGCCCACGGATCAAACAGGGGGGACCCAGTGAACTTCTCTCTGTGACAGCCTCTCATTTCTACAAAGCCATTGATTTTTGCGGTAAGCTTGTTGGAGATCAGCTATCGACCCTTCTGTCACATTGGCTGAAACAGCCCATGAGCTCCAAAGCCCTGGGTTGGACAGGCAGACGGATAGGGCATAAATCAAATTCCTTCTGGAAATCAGGTTAAAATTTTGATCCAAGGAGAGAGCACAGTGCAAAAGGTTTGGGGGTGGGGGTGGTGGTGTTTTTTTCTTTAATTGGTTCATTTGCAGTAAATAATAATTAGGAAAAAAACAGGACTTCTGTAACACATGGGCAACTTTCCTGCAAGCATAGTTATGTCGCGCTATCCAGCATCCTTATGCACAAGACAATGTGATCCTTGGTGTTTCGCCCTAAATCAGTCTTGGTGATCTCATCATTAAAATGTATAGAATGTGAATTACTTTATTCATAGAAGTCGCTCCTAGGGGACAACTATTGTGAAAATAGCTATTCACATATTGAAATATTTTCCAGATTGGTCTTGCATCAAAATGTGTGTTTGTATATTTTATGAATGCAACACCATAGAGCAAGGAAGTCTTGCAGCACGTAAAGGAAAATGTGTTTTCTTATCCATCTGTTGCAGCTCTGATGTTGCTGAATGCAATAATTTGGGATCTGAGCTCTTAGTTTTGCACAAGAAATGGAATAGACAAACAGTCATGAGTTTGGGGTTGTTGCTAGGCAGCTGGTTATTGCTTCTTGGAAAAGCGGCCACGGCTGCCTGGTCCGGACGGGCTGCTCGGCCAGTGGGGTCGGGGGGGTGCTGACAGCTCCCAGCCCTGCCTCTCCTCATTCAGGTGACACCCACAGCCAAAAGAGAACTCTAAATTTCATTCCTTGCCAGCCAGTGTTTAAAAGACGCCAAAAATTAAAGTTCTGAAGGCTTTAACATTTAATTATCAATTCCAAGTTTTTCCTGCACCCTTCATTTCTGAATTGAAAAGCCCGAGGGGTTAAAAAACCAAAAAGCAATTCCCAATTATCTTTCGTTGAACCTGGTGATAAAAAATTAAAAACCACCATGCCCTGTTTCATGTTCATACTACTACATTTTTGTTTTAATCTCTAGCATGATCTGTGTTTCTAAACCTGTTGCAATGGAATTCGAAAGGGGCTAATTCCAAGATCAAACAAATTGCCGCCGTGTGGTAGAAGCACGCTATGAATAGAGATTTGGTTTTCACTTTCCCTTCAGAAGGCGAATGTAGGTGGTATTTCACCAACTGAAAAGTTTTTTGTGGAAGAATGATCACTAAGTTCAGCTGCAGGAAGAGTTAGATTTAGAGTCTAGGCAAGTCAGCGGCAACTGAAATGAGTGGGAGCGGCGTAGTATTCTTAAATTGTGCAAAATAAAACTATTTACTTTGTGATCAAACTAGTGACTTAGCAACTTAACTTTTTAGGCTTCATATTGATTTCATCTTGGCTACTGTGGTTTTATCCTGTGAATACCCTTTTTTTTTCTCTTGGTTCTAACCCACTGCACCCCCTATTATCAAGCAGTTTCTGATGTCTGTAATCACAGCAGTTAATGTGAAAGACTTTCCAGAGAGAAATAATATCCCAAACAATACTTGGGGACGTTTCTATAATACAAAAGTGACGTGAAAAGTCTATATTAAATCTGGCATGATGGGTGCTCCACTGAGTTCAGTTCCGTTGTACAAATCGTCAGTGTCAAATTTGGCTCAGAACATCCTGTTTCTTTGTTTTGGAAACAAAATTGGTCTGATATAGATGTGTGTTGGAAACGTGGCTTTGATGTCTTGACAAAAGCATCTGCACCCACAGCACACATCATTTTCTGGAGCCACCACTGTATTAAGAGTATTACAAGGGGAAAAAAAATCAATAAAGCAAATACCATTTTTAAGCAAAAGCATGGTGAAAAATCCCTGCAGCAGGTTCTATATCGAGTCACGAAGCGCATGCATAACAGACAGTGCACAGGTTTTCTCTTGTCCTCTCTGCAGTTTCTTGTCTTAAAGTTGTGCTCTTACAAAACTAGATAATTGTAAGAAATATTGAACTGCTGAGGCCAAGCAATTACCTTTTGCTCCTATTATGCATGAGCAGCTTTAGGCAAATGTTTTGTAATTGCTACCAGTTCTGAGTAAAACTGGTGGAATTTTTATTTACAAACCCCATTTGTGCCATCAAATTCTGTGCATGTTATGACCTTTACATGAATACACGTAATAGCACTAAAATAACTCTTCATAAATACACTTTTTGGCTGCAGAATTGCTTTTCCTTTGTTTGCTTATGCATAGCATTTGTCATGTTTACAGTCACTTAAGAATTTTCTGGCCATCTCGAGCATTCTTGTGCTTTTAGAAATGGATGTGGTCACTAAGATGTGGATGTCTTAATCACATGCTGTGAAGGGGACTCTGACAGTGGTAGAGGATCCCTTCCAGTAGCTCTTCTGGTATGGAATGTTTCTGTTGGTTGCATCTTTATTTTGAGAGTACCTTAGGTGCTCAGAGGCCAATAAGCCAAATAATGTTACAACGGGTACTAATGAGTCTTCATGGAAGGATCTGAACCAGGAATAGGATTCAGAATGCCCTGAAGTTAGAGATAGGTGGAACTTTTAAAACGTAAATGTTGATGTTGCTTGGCCTCGCTTCCTTTCTTTGTCTCTATCTCCTGTCTACCTTCTTTTCTGTACAAACTTCTGGCACATCTACTGTTCATATTTAAATGTTTTATTCAAGTTTGTCTTACCCAAAAGTCACTGTTACCCATTTCTTACATGAAACAGCAGGCCTCCAGTGATCACCTTGTTCTTGGTTTTTCTCCTCTCCTGGCTCCTGTGCCATGCCGGTCACAGACTTCCAGAGCCTGTCAGCCCTTCATCTCCATTTGGTTGCCATTGATCTTCCTTTTCCCTCATGATTCTAAAAGTCACCTCTGGGACAAAACCCCTCTGGGTGATTCCTCTGCAGATGCTGCTTCCAGACCTGCTGAGACCCACAGGAGGACTTATTTCAGAAGTCCCAAAAAACATTTTAGTGACAGCAGCTTTCAAAAAAAAAAAAAGATGGCCACCAGACAGGAACTTTGAGAAACCAAAGGTGTCGTCTCCCTTGTGCAGCACCTTACCTTGGTGTGAGGATAGACCACCCCATACAGGAACCAGAATTTCTAGGATTACCTAGAGGGGAGTCCTCTTCTCCAAGGAGAGAATGGGGTTTTTTTTCTGCTCATGCACAATCTCTCACTGCTTTGCAAAATCCTCTTAGGAAAACCTGTCCATATTATACAAAAGTATCTATCTCCCAGAATCAAGGTAAAATATATGGACAATATTGGATTACTTTTAGCCGTGCAAAGAGAAGGGTGGAAGCCAGTCCCACCAAAGTGGGAGGAACTGTGGAGCTTCAAGACCTTCGTTGCTTGGCTCATCAGTGTTGGGGACCTTGATGGCTTGCGCCTTGTCTCCAGTTCTTCCTCTCACTGCCACAGGAATAGCAAGCTGTGACTTTTATGGCATCTCTTCCATTTCTACGATGAAACTACTGAAAAAAATACCCAAATCATTCTCTTTCATAATTTTAAACACTATTATCCCTCACGATCACCCCAATTCTTTATGCCTTACAGATATCCTCCCTCTAATACCCTGGGTTTGAGCTCCCCATTCCCCTCCTACTACATTTAATAAATATCTCGGAAGAGCTCCAGCAGGGAGCCCTAGTGACAGGCTGTGTTGCTCAGACTGAAGAAATCAAACCTATGTCAGTTAAATCTTCCTGTGTACTCCCATTTGAGTCCTTGGCCTGAGTTATGTCCACACAGCTGGGCTTTGGCAGGTTTGGGGAGTTAGTCCCTGCTTCTAGGGACTGAGATCTGTTAGCATAAGCTTATGCTGCTTAGAGAAACTTAGGGATGTGTTCCTCTCCACACCACTGAAATTAATAAAAAAAAAAAAGAAAAGAAAAAAAAGACATAAAACTTGGAGGAGGAGAAAGGGAAAAAGGAGAAAGTGAAGAATCTACTTAGTTTTACCTTTGTATGTGTGATAGATATGCTGGGGGTGATTCCCCACTTTATTTTATTAAGTGAAGATAAAGAATAACAGCAATGCATAATGAAAACATAATATTTTTTCTCTTATGCATGGGTTTCAAGATATAATTCCTGTGCTCTTTCTAGCCCCCTGATGAGTACCTTGCTTCTAATGGCACGGATAATGAGAGATTTACGACTTCTGGCTTTTTGATAGCAGACCAGAACTCATTTGTCCGTTCCGTGGCAGATCCTGTAATCATCCCTGCAGGCAGCCAGCTACAGCTTCAAGGTGTGCAAGCAGGGAAAGATAATTCAGTTAACAAATCTCATGATGCTACTTGTAATAGAAGAAAATCCATCCTGACATCTTAAAAAAAAATATTTTTCTATTCTGTTTACATAATGAATCCTGTTCGGACTGAAATGATTTCAGGCTGTTTTGCTTACGCCGATTTGAAAATCTTCCCCACAAAGCTGCCTTAAAATACTGTTATCTTTGTGCAACTCTGCTCAAGTACTTTCTTTTGTGGCAAGGTACTTGTTTGCATTGGCTTGGCTTTTTTCATAACAAGAAAGATTTCAGGAAAAGAGTTGGCAGCTGCTTTCTCCCCCTTTAAATCTGTAGTGCTGTTTGACCCCCATTGCACGTAGGTGCATGCTGCTACTGTTAAGTTCAGCAAAGATGCTTTAACAGGACTGACGTACTCTCCCTCTGTCATCCTCTCTTGATGGGTCAGTCAGTCTGGTTTCTAGCTGTGTTTGAACCATCGGGATGACACTGAGTGCTCCTTAAGTAGCCCAGTGAAAACTCCTGTCTCTTCTTACGTAGCTGAATGTCAGATCCTGCAGAGATGAGAATCGGGTGCCTTTTTATGAGATCGTACGAGAGTAAAACCCACGCGTGGCTATGGGGCTGCCTTCCTGCCCTGCCGTCTTCCCTGGGATGCTCCCTTCAGACCATCGTCAGTGCAACACCTCGCCTCTTCTCCGAATTTACCATCGCTGCTGAAGGCTCAGGTTAACGTCCTTGAAGGATGTGCCAAGGCTTTCTGGAGATGCATCACTGTCTCCCCTAACAAGTAAACACAGTGTTTGCCAGTATATTACCTATAAATCAATTTAATATCAGCAGGTTCTTCAGTATAAGGTGGGATTTTCAGCATTTGTCTGTCTCTGCTATTAGTACGAGGCGTGTGAACTTGAGCTTCATTGTTCGGTTTTATTTTAGATGACAATGCTCTCTGCAATTTTATGATTTTCTTTCTTTATGACACATGAAGAAGACCAGAAGACGTGGATTTGGTTCTGGTGTTCGTTCTGACTTGGCTTTCATCTCGGATGTATCTGTAATGTCCGGATGGTTTTTCTGGATGACTCACTTCAAATCTGAAAAAGTGAATTATGATCTCTGCCAGCCCTCACTGAGAGGGAGCGTGGTGAATCTTTAATGATGACACTCTTTTCCTCAAGGCTTCCTCAGGTATTTGAGTTAAATAAGTCACAAGCAAATTTTAAAAAATTCTAATGTTTTAAACAGAATAAAGTATAAATTAATTCCTCCCAGTTGATTTTAATGATATGGCTTTAGACTTAAAAAAAGTTTTACATTATGCCAGACATTGTATTAGCTGAGTGGATTGCTCTGGTGCCTGAGCCTGCAGCCAAGCCATCGATGTCCTTTAGCTCCCAGGTCCTAAGTGGGGAATTTGAGCATTTTTGGGTAATCAAGACTGCTGACCTGAGGGCTGTAGGGGCCCTGGCTGCCAAGGACCTGGGAGGGAGCCTAACTCCCCTCGCAGGTCTAAGGATCAACAAAAAATTTAATTTTTTGATAAAATGGAGAAGTTTCCTCCTTTTCACATCAGTGTATTTGTTCTCTGATGCTGTTCTATGGTGTTTGGAGGGAAATGCCAGAGGTTCCGGGAGCCTCCAGAGGAGTTGAGTTTGAGGTGCTGCTGGTGGCTCAGAGGGGGTGGCAGACCCGGTCAGTGCCCAGCAAGCAGGGCTTGGAGCAGGGCGGAGGAGATTGGAATTGCTGACACACATTTGAAATTTGTCAGCGTATGAATAGTAAATGAATGAAATATGCAACTTTCATGACAAAAACTGGAGGTGAGGTCAGAGCCAGTGGTCCAAAGTCATTCCAGTGCTGCCCAGTGTCACTCTGGGTGTCATCAGATGACACCCCCCAGCATGGCAGTGTGTATGTGTCCAGCAAAGACCTGAAACATTGGCAAAATAGCATTATCCATGGGCTATATTTATGTGTGTCTCAAGTTTTGTACAAAACCTCAGCTGGCCACAAACTGGGCTGTCCTGTGCATGCCAAATATTCGCAGTACACTATTTTTCACCAGCACCCTCACCTTTGCAATCTATCTCTGCTTTAGCAAGCTGATTTACAAGTACATCTTTTCTGAATCATTATCCGAGCTGTCTGCCAGTTGGCCCGAGGCAGACATCCAGGCACTCGAGACTGGGAGAATCGGTTCCAGCTGCACTCCGTAATTAGGAAAACCCTGGTCTGTAGCCGGATGTCCAGATGCCTTGCCAAGGAGCATATCATTTGGTTCAACAAACAGTATTTGCGGGGAAAAAAACCAAAAAGAGTGAAGATGTAATAGGACAAAGTTCATATGCCAGCAACTGCTCCCCTATTCCTCATCGCATCTCCCGTTTGCAAGCTGGAGAGGTGGGTCATGGTGGGAAGGGAAGGTCTGAGGAGGTTAAAAAAATCCTCAGGATTTCAAATCAGAAATGTTTCTCATACTCCCCACAGAGATGGAAAGTACTTGAAATGCCATTTCTTTCATGCTCTCGCACCAGGGAAAAACTGAACTTTGCATTTCATTGTGTAACAAAAGTTACAGTGCAATGTGTTTTGTCAGCAATGAGAATTTGTATGAAAACTCTGTGTGTGACAGATCTCAGCTAAACCCTTGTGCTCCCTGAAGTGCCTTTGTTTCAAACACAGATTCAAGCTCTTATTAAAGGTTTGGGTTTGGTTTTTTTTTTTCTTGTTCTGTTGACATGAATTAACAAACGTGAAGCTTCCAAGAATAGATTTAATAATATCATAAAAAATACCAGAGCTTTTGCCACCAATGCCATTTAATCTATTTCAGCAACTAGATTAAATGACTTGCCAAAAGTTTGAGTGTTTTCCAATGATAGGCGTTCAATAATAATAATACAAGAATATCATTGCACAGGGTATGGTGCAAAATTCCACTCTGGATGATTTAGCAAAGAAAATAAATATTTCCTCCTCTTCTTCCTCCCACCTCACTTTCTCCTATCTCTCCTGCTCCAGAAACAGCTACTTTTTAAGGTTTAACAAGCAGGTATTAACTAATCTGTTCCAAGGGATCTGTGTGAAATTGGAAGGTCCTACCTACAGATTATTGCTAATCACTAGAGGTTACTTTGATAACAATAACTTAGATATTGTATGTAATCTACTGTGTGGACTTTGACAACTTGTTTTTGATTGACCATGTAGTACTCAGTCTTTCCCTTGTGCTGAAAATACATTTGAATGAAATTCATGAAAGGCCATCTGGCAAAACAGGCCTGTCTGGATCTGATTTATCTCCAGCCAGCCTTCTGGATTTCCTTGTGCGCTGGTTGACATTCACAAGTTGATGTTCTCCTGTTGTAGCTTTCCAGCTCAATCTGAGACAACTGTGATTTTCTTACTGTAAAACATTTGAGGAAAATATTGATAATGTAGTTGTAGCTTTAATTATAGACCTGTTTTTTATCAAACCTTTAAATTTTTTGAGGTCTTTCCTTAATCCAATTCAAGAATTTTTTCTTTATCATTCTCTGCAAGTTGTTAGTTGTTTTAAAAAGTAAATAAGACAGTATATGTAGCAGGTCTTCTTCATGATGGTATTTGTGGGTAACTCATGAGGGTACTGATACCCTGAAAATAACCTTTCTGTATGGCTCACCCAGCAGTTCCCCCATCCCACTGCTTGTGAACACAGCTGGATGGTGTCCTTCACTGAAAGCTCAGCACCTCCTTCTCACTGTGTACTGCAACAGGGTGAGGAGCAGGCTCTGAGGGCATCTCGCCTGTGTTTTGTGCCAGCAGTTACCATGATCCTGTGCTAGATCAGGTTCATTGCATTGTCATTGATTGCAACAGTGTGTTATTTCTTTGCCAAATAATGTGTAGTGGCCTTCTGCTCTGGCTATTTTCTGGATTCTTTTTTTTTCCATACTGTGGCTAATGAGTCCAGCTGTTTTCTCCGTTGCTCAGGACCTTCTTCTGCTCAATGACAAAAGCAAGCTTCTTTTTATCATGCCAGCTATGAATATACCCAGTGGCATTGGCATCTTGGAGCTGTGCAAGTCAAGTATTGAAGTGTACCTTAGCATACTGTATTAAAGCAGAAGGCTCATCAAACATCCTGCTCGTGTTCGGTGATTGCTGTTCCGTGGTGGGACTCAAGGAGATCTCTTGACAGGGGGTAGACTTGATACCTAAATTCCCTTCTACTCCTTAGCTGCACGCAAGAAGATGAAGCCACGAAGCCTGCTATGGTGGACATGATTTAATGAACGTTTCTTAAAGTGGAGCTGATTTATATGCCTTTGCTAATATAACGTTACAAGTAAACTGAAATTCTGCTTAGTAAAAAATTATCGACTTCTGTGGCAAGATAAGTGAAGGGAAAAAAAAGTCTTACCAGTGGGGTGACTTGTTGCTATAAACCAACAGCCAGTAATGTCAGAGATTTCAGTCCAAAGAGCGAATTTTTGTAAATTAATTTTGGATGCTTATTACAAAATGGAAAGTAACATAATTTCTGGCAAAACTGTTGACAGCAGACGTGATGCATTGCGATAGCCCAGACTCTGTATTAAGTGGAAATTAGCTCTGTGTAAAAAGCTGCAGACAGGTTAGCACTCACGGAAAACAAAAGATGACAAAATCAAAGACTGATGTAATAGTTCTCACTGAACTAGAAAAGATGTGATGTAATAGAATTTGTGACTATTATTTAAAATTACTGTGGCTCTTTAAATGCGAAGGTGACTTAGTTCAAATGAAATCGACTCCCAGCATCTTGCCCATCAGTGCGCTCATTTGCGCTCCCGGTTCTGCAGACTACACAAAAGTGACATTTGTTGAAATCCGCGTTTCCCATCTTCCCCAATTCCTCCACACTTATGCCTGAAGCCACAGAAATTAAAAGCAGAGATATTCAAGCTTTGGATCAGCCCTGAACACATTCTGAGACTGTCCACCAACGCATCTTTGCAACAGGATCCCAGGGGTGTTTCAAGTGACTCTCCTGGGAAGAGGGAGAAATAGGATCTCTCTGATAACCAGATCCCAGGGCAATCAGATCATTTACGGTAGCTCTTTTCCTCACGCTTGCACTCCCTTTAAATCCACATTTTTAAACTCATCGCCTCCAGGACACTAAAAATAATGTTACTTTCTCGGCATTTTTTCCCCCAGGAGTGGCACAAAAGCGATGGGGCTCTGACGGTCGGAGGACGTGCACAGGCCTTCAATGGGAGAGCACTGTGGAAAGAAAATCAAGCTCTACCAAGGTAAAATAAATAAATTATGTTTAGATAGCAGTCAGCAGAATGCATTCAGGTTTAAAAAACAATTGCTGATTGCTGAGCAATGTATTTGGACTTGGTTTTGTTTAGCTAGGCTTAGCTTAGGCAGCAGAAAAGCCAAATAAAATGATGGCTAGACGTTGTGATTCAATGTGCTCTTGGTGAGGGGGGGAAAAAATTGCATGTTTTGTGGGGGAAAAAAAGTTGTTAAAAACACCTCAGGAGACTAAATCAAGTGGTATCCCAAATATCAGTACACTCTGTCTCAGATGTTCTCAAGATAAAGCCTGAGGTTTTCAGTTCACCACAATTACTTTGCGTAAGTGCATTTTTTTTTTCACAAGAAGCAGCGAAGCTTGAAAGCTCCCAACAAGCACAGGATCAGCTGGTCAAACCTTAAAGATCCATCTCTTTGCTAAAGGTTGGGAGGAGGGAATAATACATATACCCAAGCAGAAAAAGGAAAAGCAAATTATTTAAAATACTGGTGCATGAGTTTGAAGCTAATCAGGAGCATTTTTGACATGCCTTTGGACTCTTGCAGGATGTCTCTAGCTGTGCAGCCCTTAACAGAAGAAATAAATGTCAAATTGACTCCTGGAGCATGAGAAATGCATCCAAAATAAAGTATTTCAAGCAACAGTGTTCTTTGGTGCCCTGTAGAACTCTTGGTGAAGTCAAGAGTTTTGGAAAGCATGCAAAGGTCTTGAACCCGTAGGTAGAAGTAAATGCAATGCAGAAAATACGAGGCAAATGTTGTTAAAAATACTGAAAGAAACAAAGATGGAAGAAAATGCTTTCCCTGGGGCTGTGAAATTATTGAATTGTCAAAAGCACAGGCAGCTGGTTTAAAGAGTTGATAAAATTTACCTGGTGTTTCACCTCGTTAATAAACTCTTGATCTAACTCTCTTTATTTGGGTTCCCAAACCAGCCTTCCCAAGAGTTACAAAGGAGCCTGTTTTCTGTGTTGTTGCCATGCATGGGGAACAGGAGCGCAGGAATGGTTTTCCCCATGGGCTTTGGTGCAGGGTCCCGTCTCTGGCACCCAGCCCTGAGAAGGATGACTGTGGCACCTGGGAGGTCCCAACTCTGTCGCTCACATAGTTTTCCTCGAGGAAGGAGAATATTATGTTTTGTGAAATACTTGTCAAGTACTGGCATTGATTATCAGATGATAGACACCTAGATATGACTGAGATGAATTCTTAACAAGCAGGAGCAGTACAGCTAGCAAATGGCACCTAAACCCCGAATGAACTTGTCTGAGCTTTCATTATGGAGTTAATCCTCAGAATTTGCATGCCAATTTAGTGGGGTTTTTTTCTATTAGGACTGGGAGATCTAGGAACACAGGGCAGGAGCAACCTAATCAACCAATTTACAGCAGCAGTGAGATTAGGCCAGATGCTTTATTGCATGTGACTTATGTGACCAGCCGTGTGGATAATAACAGCAGGAGATTTTAAACTCAGGTTTACTCTATGTTGGATAGCTTTAGTGTAAAAGAACCTCCTTTATCATGCTAAGTGAAGTAATGTACAGTCTATCAAGATAGATGATTACTGTCATGGATGGGAAAATTAATCTGGGCCACTGTCAATCAGTCTTGGACATATGTGTTTTTACATCATTGATAGGTGCCACCAAGTAATGATAAGCAGGAGGAAACTAACTAATTAAAATAATACCCAGAACCCAAATGCCCTTATAGGAAATTATATCACTTTTGTGGGAGGGATCATGGAGAAGAATTTCCATGCTTGTAACTGGTGAGGTTGTAGAGCAGTCATGACGCTCGTGCCCACATGTCCTCTGCAGAGTGTGATGGCACATGTGGACCTTCAGGCTAATGATCCATAATATATTTAAATGCATTTTAAATTCCAACAGACCATCATGAAAGAGCAGTTTAGAGTCTGAAACTGGCAGCTGCCTTTGTCAAGTCTATTTTTAAAGGAACACAGCAGCCACAAATCCCAACTGTGACAATGGGTTAAATACTGAAGATATATGTGTACGGAATATGCGTTCTTAATTTTAATATTATTTTGCACCAGAGCGATAAGGTTTTCATTGAAGTCTCCCAGACAATTCAGAACTGATTTCAAGAGTGCGTGTTTTTAAATGACAGAATGTTAGGATGAATAGAAAGTTAACAAGAAATCTCGAACAAAACTGTCCAGTGTGATAGATGGTAGATGAGAAACGCTTACATATATTATGATAGCATATGTTGATAATCTGAATCTTTTCATTTGCAGGAATCTCTGTCATCACAAAATACAAAATTGATTTCACCGATAGTCATTTTGCAGATGATTGATGAGAATAAACTGAAAGAAAATTGGCCTGCTTCGCCTGTGCAGTCCATGATCCCCCAGCCCAGTGCTTATCACATGAAGCAATCTCTGGCTAACCATGGTTCAGTCAAAATTAATAGAGCATTTATGGTACCTCCCAGCAGATTAGAAATTCAAGCGTCTTTAGATGACACCACCTCTCCATCAAACTCTCCCATCACAGAGGGAAAACAGTGTCAAAACTGGCAGAAAGGGTTTGCCTCCATAACTGTTACAGCGAGGCGGGTTGCTGCAGGCTCCAGCAACCCAGCGTGTGGAGCTGGGACTATGCAAGAACCCAACGCTGTGTCCCCCACCTTGAGCAAAGTCCCTGCTGCCCTCCATCGCTGGCCTCCGCCGGGCCACACAAACCAAAATGCGTCTCCATTAAAGATTTCTGAATCTTGCTTACAGTTAGGTGAAGAGCCACAAAAGCGGATTTTTGACCCTGGAAACAAGGAGAATGGCATGAGTCTTCAAAGCAGTGATGGGAAAGTACCACCTTCATTCATCTCATGTGTCCACCTTCAGGTTTCTCAGCAGTGTCCAAATACCATCTATTACTTAGACAAGTCACTCAATGTGTGCATTGACCAACGCCGAATTAAATGCCAAAAAATTCATAGATCAGCGTTGTCCTTCAATATAAATTGCAGTTCGTCAAGATTAACAGCAGATGGAGTAGATGGCATAGCTAATGGAGAGCCAATAGAGGAGATATTTAAGACAAAGCTCCTAGGAGAAAACAAGACTCCACTCAGATCAAGCTGGAGTGCAGACTTAACAGAAAAGAATGCAATTAATAGAGAGACAACAAATGAAGGCTATTTGGGTAGCAAATACCCTTTGCAAAGTGTCTTTGTCTCTGAACTTCCAGCATTTGCGGATGTACCCAGAGGACCTAATAACGCAGTAACAACACAGAAAGATGAGGATAAGCAATCTGGCAGCTCTCACGCTACATACGCTCTCCAGCTTCCTAATTCAAGTGATGAGGCAGGTAAGTATTTTCCATAAACCTCAGTCTGGTGGAGCAGAGGTTCAGGCTGGAACAGACCCACCACAATGATTTTGTGTGAGCAGATAATAGTAATCTTTGCTTCGGCAAAGGCACAGCGAGCCAGAGCACAACCCAGACGTTTTCACTTCCAGGACTACCATGAATATATTTGCCATGCTAGTGGTGCATGCGGCTCATCAGATGATAGAGAAAACTCTGCTTGTGCTTTCTGCACTAAACCTCTCTTTTTAACCATGTATAACTAATTTATTTTTTTTCTTCCAGCAACATGCAAGTGCTTAGCCCCTGAAAATAATTAGGTCTTTCTTTGTATAAGGGCTGAATTTCAAGGTGTGAGATTAAGGAGGAGATGGCTGCGCTGAGCTTGGTTTTGTGCCCCTTGTGATTAAAAATGATAGTTTTCAGCTTTTATTTGGAAAGCTATAGTAATAAGCCCAGACCTTTATAACTAAATGGCTCCAGGTAAATGGTTTGAAAATCTTTAACACATTTGTTTCAAGCATCTCCAAGCATTTTGCAAACATAAAATTTTCCTTGCAACATTGCTCTTGGGAAAGGGAAAGGTACCGTGGGGATTGCTTGGCGCACAGAGCGGTATAGCGTCTGCTGCGCTGGGCTGGAGCAGCTATTTTACAGTGCACTTGAATAACCACAGCTGAGTTTATTGACTCTCCAGGAAGGGAGTGTGGATGGGAAGAATGTCAATGAGTGAGTCTGGTTTGTACCAAAACCACTAAGGTTAAAACTTGTCCCCCATGTACCCTGCGACCTTGGGCTACATTTAATTGCAATTACCTTGTTCTTATACGGCCTTGTTGATCTAAGGGTCAGTATATGAACATAAGCTACTTCCTAAGATTCATTTGTACCTTCATCTTCCCAGTGTGCAAATGGAAAAAAAGAGAAAGATGAGAAGTTCTGTGCTGTCTCATGGGCTGGACAAGGTACAAAACCCAGGCTGCACCGTCCCTTTGCATCTTGCTGTTACTGCTGCACTTGCTTTCTCATGCCTGAAATCGGTGGGACTGCTCTTGCAGTTGTCAGGGTGCAAACAGTGAGAAGGCGCTATTCACAGCCCTCCTCTTCTAACCTTGCAGAAAATTATCACAGAGCCACGATTTTCCACAGAGAAACCGGCGTTGTCGGTAATTCCAGAGTCAGGCCCTTAAATGAAAGCTGTTCAGGTCTGCGGGATGAAGCACCCCTCAGGTTGCCTGCTGAAGAAAGCCTGAGATAAAATATTTCTTTATGTTTATAAGTGTAATCAAGGTCCAGTCTCTTCGGGGGCGTGAGTTCGAATCCCACCGCTGCCATTGCATTCTTTAGGGTGGTGAAACACTGGAACAGGTTGCCCAGAGAGGGGGTGGAGGCCCCATCCCTGGGAACATTCAAGACCAGGTTGGATGGGGCTGTGAGCAACCTGATGTGGTTCAAGGTGTCCCTGGTCCCTGCAGGGGGGGTTGGGCTGGGTGACCTCTGGGGGTCCCTTCCCACCCAAAACATTCTATGATTCTATGATTGTCTGTTGTTGAAGGGGAGATGGCACAGCAGGGAGTGGGAGAGGGAAGATGCCATCCAGTGCTAATGTCAGGAAGAAATGTAAAGGGGTGAGGGCTGGGGAGGCCCTTACACTGGCTGACATCAGCAAATTAAGTGTTTCAGCTTTGGATTTCATTGTGTACCATCCTAACTACAAATACAAATGTCCTCCTGAAGCTTCTATGGAAAGTACTATGCATTCGAGGTTTTGTTCAACACCTAGGTCTAAGGTCTCTCTGTGATATACCACAAAACAAAGAATAATATTGAGATTTCCCTGGGCTTCGTAATGCAGCAGTGGTCATGGAAGAACCACTTTTACTAGAAGGAATTAGAAAGTGAAATAAGACACTGCTCATGGTTCCACAGTTTTACTAAAAAGAAGAAATGTGAGGTAACCAAGGAAGAAACACTGGGTTTTGAAAAACGATTTCCACCATTTGTATACGCAAGAATACAGATGTAAATAAACATGGGAAGTGTTACCTTTTTAACTGCTTCCACCTTTTGTGTAAGCAATAATGTAGAATGTAAAGATATATATTTCTCTTGCTCAGACCCTTTGTAATATATAAGAAGGTGTTTATCAGCCTATTGCCACTTTCCTGTGTGAAATTTTTACAAACAGCCAGAATTATGCGTCAAAACAACAGTCTTTCTCACCAGGATCCCCAAAGTAATGAGCTCTTACATAGCCGCCAGCCATTAAATGTGACAAATCACAAGAAACCTGGTTAAATGCATGAGACATCTATGCTGCTCATTAAAATGAAAGGCAATTGGTATGATTTTAACCTGGGAGAAAGTGAAAAAGTGAGTTCCCTTTAGTTCTGAAAATGGGTGAAGTGAAGGAGAGGAGTGATCTCTTGGGTCCAATACTCTGTTCTGGTAGAAATCTGGTACAGCCCTACAGCCTGTTATATGTTTGGGTTTTTTTTTTTCCCTGGACTAGTTTTAAATATCTAAAGAAAGTTATAACGGGACACGGTTGCCTTTCTGCTTTTTGCTGTGGCACTTCTGTGTATACAGCTCAAAATTACAAGTCCTGTATTGAAGGATGCTGCTTTACAAGCACAGAAAAAACTACCCCATCAGCAAAGTCCTTTATACCATTACAGATTCCCATTTTTTTTAGACATTTTCTCCTCCACTGTTTACTAGCTTGAATCCATTCACATTAAGCTTTGGTCTGCTGTATGTTTATGCAATGAAATAGTTGTGAAATTAAATGTTTAAAAAGAAGGAAGAAGGGGTAAAGAAGGGGCAGCGAACAATTTTTGACACCGTGTTAATACTTTAACATAGTTATCTTACAGACGAAGGAACTGCGGAGAGCACTTTGTCCGTCACATTTGTGATGACCCAGAAAGTTTGAGTTTATATTAGTTTGCAGCTGTAGGCAATACCTTCCTGCCAGCAGAAATACAAGTGGTAATAATATCACCATGGCAAAAAAAAAAAAAAAAAAGAAAAAGAAAAATTACTTTTGAAGCTAGACTTTTCTGTATGAAATCTGTAAATGTAGTTTCCAGGAGGTATAGGCTGCCTTAGTAAGATCTGAAGCGGAGTGAGTGCCCAAATGCTTCTCTGCTTTACAGGTACTGGGGCCAGGTTTGCTATTTCCTATAGGGCCGGTTGAGTCATGGCCTCTTTGGAGTGTCTTTTTTTTTTTTCTAATTTTTTTTGTGTGGCTTCACTAAAGTAATGATGACTCTACTTATAGTATTACTCATACTATTTCATGTTCAAATCCAAGTGTTCAAGCCTTGGCTTTACGTGGACCTGGATAAAACAGCCGGGGCTTGGTACAGATAATCTCCAGGGGTATGTATTTTCACAATGTGTCACACATGAAAAGGATATTTTAGGCATATTCATGAAATGTAAATCTTGGGCTATGCTCATGGATGGTAATTATACTTAGAAATCCAAATCTCTCAGATGCAGCATTCAAAGCCATATTTCATGCTATAGCATCCCAAGGATGGAATATGATCTTGTGGTTTCACCGCTACGGACTGTATTGTCTACTGACTCTGTTGCTTTGGGTATTTTACTTCCATTATCTGGCAAGAAATTGGACTGTAAGTCCTGGGAAATCCGTGTTACACATGAAGTCATCAGACATGAGAGTCGTCGGACATCATTGTGTTTATTTGTAACGAGTAGCCGGCATTTAAATCCCTTGGGCAACTTAAGGAACATGTGCCATTTAATGGGAAATGGCCCACTGAAAGCCACGTGACCCACCTCAGAGATACGACCAAGGGTAAGCCCAAGCCAAGCTCCATGAGGTCCTTGTCACAGGTGATCGATGTGCATCACCCTGCCTTCGGTCATGGCTTTTAACAAGCTGTCAGAACTTGCTAACGCTGCTTTTAGGTGAATGCTGCAATTTCCTTTACTGTCTGTGGCTGATGTCTCATAAATACAAGGTAAGTTAAAAATGAAAAAATTAGTCTTGTTTCTGCTGAAGACAGGAGCATTTTTAATCTTAATTTCTTCGCCTACCTTTCAGGAAGAATATATTCCATGTGAATATCTAGTATTCCATCCATCTTTACAATATATTACCTACTGGGTTCTATGCTGAATTATTAAAAAGGGGCAACGAGAATAAAATAGGACAACTTTAAATTCCTTTTGACCTCTTGATTAAACAATATAATCACCTTACTATGAAAGATTATAAATGACAACATCTAAAATCATGTTTAATCTTAGATAATCATAAATGCCTTGATGCCTGATGACCTTCACAGAGGTCAGCTACATTATAAACTGAAATAATTTCTGCTAACACAGCAGCTTTTATAATATTTTATAGTTTTGTTTTTCTTTTGTTGTCATGCCCAAAACTGCTGTGCAGAGTTATGAAGGAGCAGCTGAGGTGGAGAGAAATGTAAATCCGGTTTATATGGTAGGTGCTGTGCTGGCTCCCGCAGCCCTACGCTGGGATACAGAAGATGTGGAGGATGTGCAAGGAGGGTTGGGGGGCGGAGGGGGAGGCAACAAAAGGGAATCTCATGAATCTCTTTCATATGTAAACTACCCACAAGTAGGGAAACCAGGATTGTGAGGTATGCGTGACTCGGCAATGGAAGGTGAACATGACACAGTGGTGATGGTTGTGACTGCGGGTCTGAGCGTGGGCGGCAGTAAGCGCCGGGGCTGGGAGCCAGCCCGGGCTCAGGGGGTGTCCAGGGGGGCTGTGCTGCCGGCGTCCCTTCTCCTGCGGAATTCAGGAATGAAACACTCAAGAAGGGAAGAAGAACACATTTAAATCAGTGTACAAGGCAGGTCAGAGAGCTGGTATTGCAGTTGCTTATACTTTTTCCTAAAGAGATTGGCAGGTGACTTGAAAGCATAATTTACTTAATTAAAGCAACCTGAAATAGGATCTGGGCTTTTGGGGTGTTGAATGGCCCCAGATGATGATA